TCAAAAGTGCAAGCAGAGGAAAAAAGATGCCTGAAGGATTTTTGCTTGTTTAGTTGTGTCAGAAGCATCACAGTTAAAATAAGGCATAGTCTATGACATAATATTTAAAATATAAATGAAATTAAAATATAAAATACAAGATTAAAATATGTACAAATTAAACAGTTCTTGCCCAGAAACTAGCAACATTAATTGTGTTCTGTCATGCTACTACGAAGTCCCCAAGTTTACCCTGATCAGGACACAAAAGGCAGATATACTGTATATATGAGTTGTTGTCTGCATGTCAATACAATCACAAAGAGCAGAAGCAATCTGGACAGTCCCATTTGTTCAGAGTGTCTCTGGATCTTGTTTTACCCATGCCCAGTCTATTTGACGATTTCCATACCTCCCAGCTTTCGTCAGATCCAAGTGCCAGCTCCTCCATTGGTTTCATTCAGCGTTGGTTCTTTGTAGCTTTCTATAGGTCCACTCTGCCTGAAGAAGTGAGGGAATGAAACAGATAAGTTAGTGTAAACAGCTCCCTTTGAAAGTATTGGTATGGAACTGCATATATATAATTTATTAAGCCAAGGCCACTATACATATTAAATAGCATTGTAAATTGAGAAGAACCATTTGTGCATTTATGGAAAATTCTTGTCTGTTTTACTTACCCTCATCATGGTGGATGATCATCTGAACAACAACAAAGGCATCATTTCCTTCTGAACAGCATAGCAGAAAGAAATGATAAACCACTCCTGTATTTTACCAGGAAAGTAACATGGATAGGCAATATAAAATTAAGATACATTGTGGGATGATGTTCCTTGGTTGGCACTCATAGAAATGCTCAGGAGTTATTTGGAATACCAATAGTGTTTATGATGGGGCTATATGAAAGCTTTCAGGATGTTTAACTGCTGATGTTAGCATATTAATAAAAGAAAATCAGAAACGTCAAAGACAGAATTACATGGGAAAGAACACACAGACATTTGGAAATGAATTACAAAAGAAGCACAAAACAATGAAAAATGAAACAAACTGGCTATACATTTATATTTTAGGTATCAGCAATTTAAAATGAACTGGAATTGCACACTTGTAGTTAAGAATAATCTTATTGTTTACTATTCGAGGAATGAAAAACAAAGAAGGGCTAGCACTGCTTTCAGGGTTAGGAAAGATATAGCAAGGGCAGTACTTGGATACAATGCAATCAATGATCAAATTATATTAATTAGACTTTGTAAACAACCTTTTAATTTGATGGTTGAACTTATAAATTATATACAGTGTAAGCTCAGGAAGTCACAGTTAAGGAGCACAGTGAACAGATAAACAAGACCAAACTAATGAAAACAGGTGCAGCAAGTGCAGAATTGATAAGGAAGACTTTGAAGTAGTAGGTTGTTTAAGACTGACAATCAATAGAAAAATTACCAGCAGTCAAAAAATACTGACAATTAGCACTTGATAGGATAAAATTGAAGGCCTTGAAAAAGATATTCAAATGCTATAATGTCTCTATACCTACAAAGATCAGGATCTGGCAAGCTCAGTTTTCCTGTGACACTCTATTGAAGTGAAATTTTGGCTTTGAAAAAGCAGGTTGGAAATAGTATTGATGCTTTTGAACTTTAGTGTTAGAGAAGACTCCTGACAATATCACAATAGGCAGGCGGGAAAAAATAAATAGATCATAGACCAAATTAATTCAGAATTCTCCATTGAGGCAAAATGGCCAGGCACAAACTATTGCACTTTAGCACATTACGGAAAGATCCAGTTCCCTTGGAGTCCACATTACTGAGAAATGTTAAAAAAAAGAGAAGAAAAGGGTGACAAGAAAAGGAAAGCAGAAGGATGCTATGGGAGTGGGAAACACCAACTTTAACTGCCAGATTGAGGACAGATCATTCTGAAGAAAATCTGTCCACTTGGTCACTAAGAGTTAACATTAACGTCGTGATGTTAATAACAAAATCTAATCCAGTTAATAATGACAATAATAAAACCTAATCGAAGGACAGATACTCTTGACACACTCTATTTCAGCAGTTACTGAAAATACAGTTTAGTTTAAAGTGAGGAACAAGTCTTGGGATACTCCCAAGAAATGGCAAAGAAATTTGAAGATTTCCCCTTGTATTAGTCCCATTCTTTTTGCTTTGGAGAACTCAGAGAACAGGAAATAAAGAATGTGTCAGCAAAAATGTGAGTCTTACTTGAACCCCGAGATGACGTGGTCACTTCCTGTCAAAATTCCCACTACTTTTGTCTGTTCAACCAGCTGTTTCATATTGGTTAAAATCATATCTAGGAATGATGATCTCATCTATTCTTCAATCTTCAGAAAAATGAAATAGTCAATAAGCCACTGAAGACTTTTTGAGAATTTGCAGTCTTCACCAAATTAGTTTTGTCGCAAATATCTGGGCAGTTAAAGCTTCCAGTATTACTACTGTGTTTCCCCAAAAGATCCGGTCTTATATATATATATATTCCTCCAAAAGAGGCATTAGGTCTTATTTTCGAAACGGAATGTCTGTTCTACTATCTGTTCCACTGTCTGGCCTCATGGTGGCAGCACCAACAGCCCCACCCAGCAGGAATCCGCATGGCTGCCAGCCCATTTCTTCTGCAGCCTCTTACCACTGCTCGGACGCGTCTCCCCCGGCCTCTGTTTTGCCTTTTCTGAAGGCCTCTAGAGCTCAGAATGGAGCTCCGGGATGACACACACATTGCCCTCCCCTCGCATCCATTTTGTTGGCAGAGGCCAGTCTCTCTCTCAGCCTGACCCACCTAACAGAATTGCTGATGTGGAGAAAACAGGAGGAGGAAGCCATCTTGATTTATTTATATAAATAATAAAGGCAGATAATAAATAAATATTGGAATTACATTTTTACAGAATTTATTTTCTTTTTGGGATGCTGTTATAATTCTCTGTCTGCTGAACAATATAAAGAACTGAATGTAATCCACAATACTTTTATATGGATTTCACTTTTGCACAGCAATAAGATTTATCTTCCCTATTATAAAAGCTGTGAATTGGAATAAACAGCAGGTTATTACAAAACTAAAAAAAATAGCTCTGCACCATATTTTTTTAAGAAAAAAGTCTTGCTCTGGAGCAATTGGAAAAGAAAGGCCCTTATTTTTGCTACTAAAATCAACCACCGCCCAGCTTTAATCACCTAACCCTGCAAAAGATAACTTCCAGGTAAAGGAACTGCAAGAAGTAGTATTTTGTGCAACAGGAAGCCCTCCAGTGAAGAGACACACTTAGCCTCCATACCTCTTAAAAATGCCACTTGCTCACACATCCTTGTGTCATAATATATCCTGCTGGCTTCTCCCATGTCTTATCTTCTCTTTGGTGTACATTGGTTCCAACACTGGTCCTGGAATTAGAGCAAGCAAGCAGTGATGTTGGAGGTGGGATGTTGTTGCTGTTTTCCTTTAAGGAGCAGTGTTTTGGGCAAGGAAGATCTTCATGCATGTGGGACTGCCTTTGAAGTCTCCATCTACTTGGAGACTACAGCTTCCTTGTGCAGTTGGTTGGCCATTGTAAGAACAGACTGCTGGATTAGGAACTCAATCCAGTTAGGTACCGTTCATGTTCTTACGCTGCTACAATGCTGCTACCACAACAATGAATAGCCAGTCCAAAGTAATGGTAATTATGTGGAGTGAGATGACCTACCCAACTATGTAATTATCCTGGACAAATTAGGACAATTGGCAGATTTGTTATGACCATTTGGAGAACATACAAATTCTGTCCCATTTCCCATCAAACTATAAACAAGAACGACATCTTATAAGTGTTCCTGTTGGATTGAGTAGCTTCACTTTTCTATTCTGCGCAATTCACAAGCCAAATTTCATTCCTCTTTTCAGAATTAGAATCTCTAAGGATTATTGTAATGATTGTGTTCAATGCTAGGATCATGCATGCCACCTGGAGGAAATTTATTCTAATGTTTAAGAAGTACAGCTGAAATAGATATAAAGACATCCATGTGATGAAATGGGAGGAAGAAATATTCTAGGGTTGTAATCTTGGACCAGTTTGAGTTTATGCAGCATTCCAACATTGTGTTCCAACAAATAATAATTAAATGAAAATATTTCTGCATTTAACAATAAGGAAAAAAAGTTGAAGATAGAGTAACAAGTTCTCATTTTTTAAAAAAATAATAAACCAAGCAGAAATGGAATCCTAAATTATAGGGTACGTTTAATACACCCCCCAAAAAGCAAGTAAATTAAATTCACGTAAACTATCTCAACCTGCTTGCACGCAAGATGCTGTTGTGTCACTGAATTCAGGTAGGAAGAAATAATTGTACAAAACCAAAAGAATAATTGGAAAAAAACATTCCAATTATTGCTGAAAAAGAGTTTTTGGGTCTATCGTTCAATACATTTTGGACTGAAATAGTTTTACTTTAGAAATACTACAAGCAACAAAAAAAAATTGGAACAGGATAAGGAATATAAAAGAAAATACTTGTTTTAGAAATGTATAAACTCAAAAATAATGTGAGATTATAATTTGCAGTATAATCACAGTTGTACACATACAGTACATAAAACAGAAGTTATATATATACTGTTTACTTCAAAGAACAGTTTACAGTAAAACAAGCAAGTATATAAAAAAGGCCTAGCTAAGGATGGCTTTGTCAGTATTAGCACCCAACATTTTGATACTGAAGTACCTTACTGAAGGCCAGAAACTTATGGGTATTTTCTGATGTAACTTCATTTTGGGTATCATTCTATTCAATATTTTGTCTGCCTTTCTCTGGTCTTCATTCTCTGTTCTCTCTCTATATTCTCTGTTTATATTGTTCTGTTACTACCAGTAGTCGGTCAAAGAAAAAGAAGAAAGGGAAACCCATAGTACAAGAGCTGACAGATACAGACTAAGCCATTAGATGGCACCATCTAAAGCCAAATGAATAGAAACAAAGAAAGAAAACTTCTGTCTAGCATAATTACATGGTTAGAACCGGTAAACAAGGTTTTATTTCTTTGAGAAAGGAACCAAAACATGAAACTAGAAGAAAATGTACAAAGCTGGAACCATGAGGGTAAACAAACACATGTGTGAGAACTAGCATAGATGCTGTAACTTACAGCAAGGGGTGTGGATGTGGACTTGTGGACTTCAACTGCATGGCTGGGTGGGGAATTCTAGGAGTTGAAGTCCACAAGTCTTGAAGTTGCCAAAGTTGGACACGCCTGCCTTACAGAGTATAAAAGGGATTCTCCACCCAAAAAGTAATTGGAATCTCCCGATTCCCTTTTCTCCAGTTGGTAAGTAGAGAAGGGCATTATCTACATTTTCCCCTTTTTTGTAGACATATCAAGTTCATGTGTATTGGTCTGTTTGTTTCTGTGTGCCCTGTGGAGCATTCCTTCCAGTCCTCTCTACAAAGGCACAGAACTGTCCCTAGTGCATCAAATAGCCAGAAATGGCATGAACGTCCTAGCCACAATATTCATCTGTAGTCCTCCAAGCAATCTCCAGATCTTTCATATCACTATTTCTGGATTAATATTCTCAAGTACAGTAGTACTTTGCTACTCAACTGCTTTGAAACTCATCAAATTTGGTACTCAACACATTTTGACATGAAAATTTTGTCCCGGTACTCATCATTTGTTTGGTACTCAATGCACAAGCTAGAACTTGTTGATGTCGGCTGCCTTGTGACTCACTACATTATTCCTTATGGGAAAAATTATTTGGCATTCATCATTCTTGGTATTCATTGTGCCTCCTGGAATCAATTAACCATGAGTACATCTTCTTCTCCTTCCAATAACCTTGCCAGTAATTGACACCAATTAGATCTCCAATTCAGATTGCCTTCCAGGCTCTTTTCCATCTCACCACTGACAATCCTCTGCTCCCTTTTGATGACCATTCCTCTTTTAGGATAATTTTTAAAGCAGGAAAAGTTATCATTCTTCTCTTTCTTTTTTCTTCTATAAACTGGTAAACTTTACATGGGTCTTCGGTCAGCATGGATTCCTGGACAAGGCTCTGCAGTTTTCTTGGCAAGATTTCAGAAGTGGTTTGCCCTCGCTTTCTTTCTAGGATGGAGAAAAAAAATAACTGACCAAGGTCTCCAGCTGGCTTTATGCTTAAGGCAGGACTAGAAGTCACAGTTTCCTGATTTATAGCTTGGTAACTTAACCACTATACCAACCTACCTCTGCTCTCCATTAGGTATGATTTATTTTAATATAGTTAAAGCGAATATCTAGATATGGCTAAGTAGCGTATTTAAGGGACATAAATTGCACTTCTTATGCACATACATTATGTATAACAATGGCAGCAAATAAATGGATAATATTTAACTACCGGTATATAGTCAGCTTCAAAAATTAGAGTTTGTCCACAAGATGGCAGTACTAAGCTGGAAAGAGAATCGAAGTGAGTCATAAAGCACTGCACAGTATTTCTTGTGCTAAGCTCTTTATAGTTGTCTATAAAATAACTTCACAGAATGTTATAGATGGATACTCACAAAAAAGAAAAAAAAAATCTGGAAAATGAGCAAGTATTGCCATGATGTTTAAGACAAGGAAGGGGATGGAAAACAGTTTTTTTTTCCTTTCCTGGATAGGCTCCTGGATCTGTAAGTAGTCATGTGACAAAGAGAAATTTAACAAGGGAAACCTTTCCTATTGTGAGTTTCTAGCTTCCAGTATGAAAAGCAACAAATGAACTTTATTTTCTCTAGTCTTTTATTCCTTCATCGTTTTCTCCTTTGTACTGGGCGGTAGTGGTGAAATGTAGTTTGATTGATTACATGCTATCAAGTCCTTGTCATGGTCTTGCCAGCCACATAGATTTTCTCCACAATTATTTGGTCCTTCAGTTCTTCAAACAATACACTCATCGCTATTGTAACTGAGTCCATTCCCCTTGCTGTTAGTCATCCTCTTCTTTTTTCTTCCATCGTTCCCAGCATTAGAGGGAATTCCCACATTCCCTTCCCCTGTGTGAGAGATGTGTGATTCACAGGGTTATTTCACCTTAAATATGATGAAAGAAAGAAAGAAAGAAAGAAAGAAAGAAAGAAAGAAAGAAAGAAAGAAAGAAAGAAAGAAAGAAAGAAAGAAAGAAAGAAAGAAAGACTTCTTCAGTGAGATAGGTTACACAACACGTTCATAGTAGATTAATTTGAGGAACTTTGAAAACATGTTCAACTTTGGATAATTTTTTTTTTAAAGCCCCAGTTCCTTTCTGATTCCATCTGGATGGTGGGTTGACCAACCATGGCCAAGTTAACTAGTGATGTTTTACCTAATTCTTGCTAAAGTTAAGGTTCTTGAGATATAACAGAAATCTTATATTTTGCAACATTTAGACTTCCTCTTCTCTTGAAATGACTGCGAACCCTTGACCCATGACACCCTTGGTTAGCAACATCTGCAAAGCCTTAAGGCCAAAGGGAATTGGAAGCAGAGGTGTTTTTCCCAACATTTACCACCTCTGCCTTGGAATAGAGATGGGATTTTCAAAACATTGGAAATAACTCTTCCATGGGCATTAATGGAATATTGGCTCACGGACTTCACCAATTTTGAGGACAACTACGGTCACTAAGGCATTTCTTTTTCAAGACCTATTATAACAAATATAATCTTCACAACAACCTGATGGCATCTTTTCAGGATTTTAAGTGGAAGAATTCCAAATATGCTGATCAACCACTTATTTCTGCACTTTTTCATAATCATTTTGTATGTACAGTATATGTACTGGTATCTGAATGGAAATTAAATGCTGATACTAGATTCACAGCATAGTATGTCTTTAACATCACACAACAGAAGAGAAGTTGTCAAAGTTTGCCAGTCGAATCAAGACATATTTATGACCATGTACTGTACACTAGAACTGATAATAATTCAAGGGTGCTTGTAAAGAACTTTGCCAACATTGTAATGGTTTTGTTTTAAATAACTTTTGGTTGCTTCACTGCTTTCTGCCAGTAAACTCCAGTAAAACCCAACACTAGGAGTGATAGGAATGCCAAGACATTTCACTTAAACTCTCATTGCTAATAGAGAAAGTGAACTATGCAAATATTACTTCATAATGTGACTTGTAAGAAAAAGAAGCACAGAATCTCCAAGGTTATTTCATCTATACCTAATATCATTTGTCTTCTGAAAAGTCAAGGTGGTAGCTGCCTCTTGGGGGAACTTTCAGGAAACCAGTTCATTTAAAAAAAAATTCTTTTCACCCACTATCAATCATGCAAGCGTTAATTTTAAATCTGTAAGCATTTCATTTCTAGATTAATCTCCTCCAAACTGGTGTGCCCAAATGTATTGAAACACAAACCTCCTAGCCTTAGCATGACCAACTGTGGCCAAATCAAGATGATTCATATAATTCTTGCTAAAGAAAGAAGTGGAAAGAAGAGAAGATTAGCAGAGATGCCATATGATACATCTGAGGACAAACTTACAAGCTTCATTATACATTTTGTTTTAAAATTTCACCTGTAATGCTGGAAATGCAGCGTTGGGCTCTGATGATGATGTTATCCAAACAGTCGTGTCCAGTGGTGGGATTCAAATATGTGAACAACCGGTTCTCTGTGTGGATGCCGTTTCCGGAAGTCCATTCTGGGCCTGGGCAACAAACAATTTAGCTACCAGTTCTGCCGAACTGGCACGAACCGGCTGAATCCCACCACTGGTCGTGTCTGAATCTTGAGAATTCTATGGGCCTCGTCTCTTCTCATCTTCCAATCTTGCACCACTTCTTTGAGTTTTTCTATACTTTAGACCAGTGGTTCTCAACCTTTTTAATGCCACGACCCCCAACTGGTCGTAAATCGAGGACTACTCAACTGGTGCAGCACCGTTTGCAGAATGGGACTTTTGGCGGGCTCAGCAGGGCAGAGACAGCCTGGACAATTCTTATTGGCTTTTGAAAGCCAATATAATTAGACTCTACTCAAGAGAGTCTATTCTATTGGCTTTCAAAAGCCAATAGAATAAAAGGGAGTAGCACAGCTAAGGAAAAAGGGAAAAAAATGGCGGACTGCGTTGTTTGGCGACCCCCGTGGAATGGTCGTTCGACCCCAAATGGGGTCTCGACCCACAGGTTGAGACTCTATATCACATGGGAATCTTAACTTTTCTCAAATAGCAAAGTATAGAGCAGGAAGTCCTCCACATAGAACACGTATCTCCACACAACGCACGATTTGTATTTTGGAGGCATGTGCCCATCTGCTTAGCCAGGTTTGGCCTTTGCAGCATAGGTATGCAGCCATGTCTACGCACAGTTGCAGGCAAGTCTAAATCAAGCTTCAACCTTTCAATTACAAGCATTGTCCTTAATCTGGGAAAAAGTTAGCCTTGCTTTAGCAATAACAATACCACAATACTTAGACTTATATATTGCTTCACAGTGCTTTACAGCCCTCTCTAAGCAGTTAACAGAGTCAGCATATTGCCCCCAACAATCTGAGTCCTCATTTTACTGAACTCGGAAGGATGGAAGGCTGAGTCAACCTTGAGCTGGTGAAAATCGAATTGCTGGCAGTCGGCAGAATTAGCCTGCAACACTGCATTCTAACCACTGTACCACCATGGCTCATTTAAGTTTAGTCTATATATAATTTTTAAATTATTTTAATCTACAATGAACAAGAAACATAGGAAATAAGTTAGAAGTAAATGTTGAATATTAAAGCTCATCGCAACAACTCCCCATACTATGCTTTTATAGATTTTGTATTCAAAGGAGTTAATATCCTGATTAAAATCCAAACATCTTCTCTTCTGCTTCAGTTGCCCATGTTTCCTCCAGCTTTTGGAAAAGATTACACTGAAATCAGAGACCACTAAGAGGCAATTCATGACCTTATTAGGAATTGTCTGGTGTACACGGTGCACATCTGTTGATTCCTAATAAGGATAAAACTGGTCCAGTAATCCTTCTGGTGGTCAATGTAACTAAAAACAACACATAAGATATATACACTATGCAAAAATATAGAAATTTCTCTCTGACAAGCGGTCTGGTGTGGAAGTTACATAAAACCTCATGCTTAGGGGCATAACATAATGTAAGTTCTCCGGCATGATTGGATGGAGAACCCACGGATGGGTTGTCTTAATCTATCTGCTCCAATTAGACTAAGTCTGAAATTTAGTACCGCCCCCTCTGTGCCAACTGCACCCCAGTTTTAGACTTAGTCTCTTTGCTCTAAGACACATTTTTTCTTCGCTCCTGGAGCAGAAGACTGTGTATTCCTATTTTATTTCATCCCAACCTGTAGCCTAGCAGGCTGACAGGCTGACAAAACCTCCCTTTGGGGGGGGGGGACTTTCCCTTTCTCCCTTTGAGAGCCTTTCAGCTTCACAATCAGCTTGAAAATTGGATTCCCAGAAGCAAGAGAAATCTCCTACCAGGGGCTGTTCCTCTGCATCAGAGGCTCCATTCTTCTAACCAGAGCCTGGAGGCCTTAGAGGCAGGGGTAAGCTTGCCAATTGACTGGGGGGCTCCACTACTTTCTGCTTTCTCATTAAGAGTGGGCACAGGTGGCACACCTCCAGTCGCTACATTTCAACCATGTCATTTATGAGGTAATGCACTGATAGAAGTAAGGTCTTCATCCTGGTTCATCCAAGCCAGGAATAAATAAGCAAACATGGTGACTGCTTTGGGAAGAAGGTTACAGTTTATTGCAGAAAGATGGTCTTCAGGAAAGTACAGAGGAGAGAAGGAGCTGAGCACATGGGGCAGTAGGCTTTTATACCCCCTCTAGCCTTGTTTGGAATAGTTTCCTGTTCCTGTGGCATGAACCTTGAGGCTGAGTGTTTGTCTAGTGTTTGATATCTGTGGTTTAATTCTATTATCATATCCTGCTTCCCAGGTGATGGGGCTAATGACTCCTAGAGTTTGGGTGGGGTATGCAGATCTTCTCTTTTGTCTTCTTGATTGCTCTGGCTTCAACTTTCTGATGGTTTTATATCTGCATTTGTATAGGGCTAAAGTCTTGCTTGGGGCAGAGAGATAGATTTGGGGCCAGGTTTGGTTTTAAAAAGTCCTTTTGAGGAAAAATATATTTTTCTGCCCTTTTTAATATTTCTTTCTCTGGGCTAACTTCCCTCAGCGCCTAATCTCTGCTGCAGCATTTACCCTCTGGAAAGGCATGAACCCAGAGATCCACATGGATCACCCTGCAGCTATTCTACAAGTGAAAACCAAGGCCTGCTCCCAGGCCTGAGATTAAGATGACTGTCAAACCAACGTTTGTTTTCTTTGGATATATTGGGTTTCTTGTTCTGAATGTACTTGATTTTTTTCTTTCATGTTACTGTTTCTATTGTTAGACATATAAGCTACCCAGTGCTGCCGAGAATCAGGCAGTCTAAATCAAATCAAATCAAATCAACCTCAGTGGAGTTTTCCTTAGATCTACTGTTTGTTTTAAAAGTACTAATTTGAAAAAAAAATCCTGCAGAGTGCGGCAGGAGTATTTTACTCTGCGTACAAGATAAAGTGTCACCTTTAGTCAGGGAATATGTACAGTTGAATGTCTGAGAAGCAACTTACAGTGTGGTAAGCAGGCTACAGTGTTTTGTTTTTCCAAAATATTTTTTAGTTTTAAAATAGAAAGGCAAACAATTTTGCAAAGAAGTATTACCATTCCATTTATTAGCCTGCAATGGGAGCTTCCAAAATAAAAGGAAAAGAGATAAATTTATATTACTGTAATTATTATTTTTTTAATTGTTGTCGTTGTTTTCTTTATCCTTTTGATGTGTTGATCTGTAGCAAACAATGGCGAAACTTGAGACTTTTGCTATCACCCTTTTCATCTGAAGAGCCAAGGGAGGTAAATCAATTACCTTGGTATTCCAACATGTGATATTCTTCTCTGAAAACAGTCAGAAACGGCATTCCTCATCACCAGCCCTCTGTCACACCTTTGGATTACTTTCTGTCTTCATCTAGAATAAATCAAATGCAGTCTTTAAAAAAAGCACTTTGGAGTTTCTTCAAAGTACTTTAGCCCTACCGGATCAATAAGCACATAAGGATTATGTCTCAAAAATTATTTATTTAGCTCTAAAATATGTTTACACTGCTTCTCATTTATGCAGAGCCAAAGTCAATGAAAAGAATACTCTGGAACAAAACATTTAGTAAAACATTAGCATTTGGAGTTAATGATTAGAAAAAGCCAACGGATAGTTACTATTGTAGTCATTTTCCTCATGACTCGTAAATTTCTATCACAGAACAACTAAATTATGCAGGACCACTGGGTGTTAGTGATTGTGAGCACTGCTATATGATCCACTGCTGCTAAACACGTGTTCTGGCTGACCAAATATGATTGCAGCCACCCAGATGTTATTTAGTATTGAACTTCAATGAGTTGAATCAAGCAGGCATCTTTTAGGAATACTCAGCCCATGAGGATACTGAATACATTCACCCCATTGATAAAGAAAGACAACTCAGAATGTCTGTGGGTCTTTGGCTCAGGGTCATCTCAAGGGCTAGGCAATGCCGCTAGGCAATATTTGCACTGGGCTTGCTGTTTATTAATATGTTACTTTAAGAGACATTTTACCATTCTAGCTGAATTTTTGGATATCACAGTGCATCGAAGATAAGTGGCCTGTTGCAAATTTGTACTTTTTGAGTGAATGGAAAAGGGTGAATAGAAATCAGCTTAGGTGGCTTCTGTAGCAACAGTTCAGCGTGTTGACTAACCAATTTATATTAGGTTAAATGCCTGAAAACATAATTGCTATATACTGGAAAAACATAAATCTGTAAGGTACAAGTAACTTCCACCCTAAACTTCTTTTTCTTTTGCATCAAGGAGATAGATTAGATAGATGATGGTAAATAGATAGATAGATAGATAGATAGATAGATAGATAGATAGATAGATAGATAGATAGACAGACAGACAGACAGACAGACAGACAGACAAAGGGGGGGATAAAACATAAGAATTCAGAAGGGTGACCTGAGGGTGCAAGACACATATGGATGGGGGAGAAAGGAGATAGAAGGAGTAGTTTAGCCTGGCATGTCTAGAAAAGAGAAAGAAAAAATAGAAAAGTTAATCTAGAAAGGATTAGCCTAAGCCAGTGATGGCGAACCTTTTAGAGACCGAGTGCCCAAAACTACCCTGTTCCCACCCTGCCCGCCACCCTGCGTCCCACCTGCCTGCAGAGCCACTCACCGCCTCCACGGCCCGTTGCAGCAGATCGCCCAGGCGGCCCAGCAGCACCATGGTGGCCACTCCCTCCACCCGCGCCCTGCAGCATCATCTGTGCATGATGGATTGCGAGGGTGGATTCTTTTCCCCGCTACCTGGCTGCCATGTCCTTGGCTGCACTGCTCTGCGTGGGCTGCATTCGGGGGTGACTCTCTTCTGAGGGCTGCTGGTGAGGGGGTCGTGGAGGGAGGCAGGGCTGGGGTGATGGCACGTGTGCCCGCAGAGAAGGCTCTGAGTGCCACCTCTGGCACGCATGCCATAGGTTCGCCACCACTGGCCTAAGCATATAAGGGAATAAGGCAAAGGTTTTTATAATCATAAAGAAGGAAGTGCATGAAGCTTTTTTTCCTTGCAGCTATCAATAAGAGAGGGGAAGTTGGTTGTTTGCTAAGGAATTTAGATCATCAATAGGCATTTTGGCTCACACATAGAGAAAAAAAGGCTGGTCAGTTTCACCCATGAGGAAATCACCTAGTTACCTTGCAGATTGGCAGAGGAAGATTAAGGCTTTGGCAGCCAGGATAAGAAAGAGAAAAGAAAAGTGAATTGAAAACTGATCCAGAAGGAGGAACCAAGCAGCCAGAAAACCAGCTACGTGAGACTTTTTGCAGAGGCAGACACTGAAGGGAGAATTTGCTAAAGAGGGTGGAACGTGCTCTTTTGCCTAAGTATATACTGTGCATCTGACATATTCTTCACATTTAAGCAGTATATCAGAAAAAGATGAAGTGAGAGCTTTGAGCAAAGTATCAGGATACAGAGAGATTCATTGTTTTTCCTCTTCCTGTTCTCCTCGGTTCATTAAAAATGAGCTCAGAAGTGAAACCAGAGGAAAAAAGATGCCTGAAGGAATTTGCTTGTTTATTTGTGTCAGCAGCATCACAATTAAAATAAGGCATACTCTGTGACATAAAATTTAAAATAGAAATGAAATTAAAATATAAAATACAAGTTTAAAATATGTACAAATTAAACAGTTCTTGGCCAGAAACTAACAACATTAATTGTGTTCTGTCATTCTACTACGAAGTCCTCAAGTGTACACTGATCAGGACACAAAATTATATTGTATATTACATTATATATGTTATTATGTAACTTTTAATAATATAAGTTCATTTGTTTTCTGTTCATACCCAGAGCTTTAATTTTTTCCTTACTGGATGTTGCAAAAAAAAGGGAATCATCTTTTTGTCCTACCCCTACTACTCAATGATTTAGCATTAGACTTCCTTAAAGTAAATTATTCAAGAGTTGATGGAGATCCTGCCTGGGAGTTTTCTGCAGAGTATTATCTGTCCAGATATTATGTGTCAAAGAAAAAGGGTGATGACAGCCCCTCCCTAATAATCCACAGAGTATATTGTAGATAGAGGTATTGTAGATGGAGAATGTTCAGCCTGGCAAGATTTTGTCTACAGCTGTGAAACAATAAAGAATTCAGCTTGGTAGAATCACCTTATTTTGTTCTATGGCAGTGGTTCTCAACCTTTTTAATGCCGCGACCCCCAACTGGTTGTAAGTCAAGGACTACTCAACCGGTCGTAAGTCGAGGACTATTCAACTGGTGCAGCACCATTTGCAGAATGGGACTTTTGGCGGGCTCAGTAGGGCAGAGACAGCCTGGACAATTCCTATTGGCTTTTGAAAGCCAATAGAATTAGACTCTATTCAAGAGTGTCTATTCTATTGGCTTTCAAAAGCCAATAGAATAAAAGGGAGTAGCACAGCTAAGGAAAAGGGGGAAAAAATGGCAGATTGCGTTGTTTGGCGACCCCCGTGAAATGGTCGTTTGACCCCAAATGGGGTCCCGACCCACAGGTTGAGAACCACTGTTCTATGGTTTGGGGGCTGACACAGGGAGCTACATAGCATACAGCAGCAATATAGGAAGGAGGGGGTGCCCTAATGGATTTGGGATAAATAAGTGGTCTCAAGGGTTAAAGATTTCTCCCCCCCCATTCCTTGTGGACTAAAATCAAACTCATATAGACAACCAAAGGTTTTGTGTCTAACAAAAACACATAACTATAGATATATAAAATGGCAGAAGCATTAAGTAACAGAAGACAAGATTTTGGGTATTCCTGGAGTTTGTTTTTTTATGATATGAACTGATAATATTTTCTGCATCAAAGAAGAGAAATCTATCAAGGAAGAGAAGTCTACAGTGGGAGACTCAGCAGGACCAAGAGAGAGATTTGCTGAGCAAACTGGCTAGTGTTCTGTCATGCTACTACGAAGTCCTCAAGTGTACACTGATCAGGACACAAAATTATATTGTATATTATATTATATATATTATATATATTACTATATGACTTTTAATAAGCTAAGTACATTTGTTTTCTGTTCATACCCAGAGCTTTAACTTTTTCCTTACTGGATGTTGCTCTTTGAACTCAGAGGCAGCTTCTGTTTTACTACAGGGGCATCACATTCATGGAGTCCCCTGCTGAGATTTTATGCACCTTAACCCACCCACCCATTTCTAGAGGCTTTTGTAGCAAGGCAGAGCATCTGGAAAAAAATGAGTTGTTAATCTGGTTGTGCACAGGTACGGATGGATGTGGAAATGGATAATGATGACCTTTAAAAGTGGGGCAGGCAGAGGTAGTTGATATCCCTGAATTCTTAGACTGTTGAGCAAGAACTAGAAAAGATAGAAGTGAATAAATGTTTGGAATGAGGTTCATTGTTTAAAATGAAAATGAGCAGTGTATATGGCCGCATTGTGCCAATTTTACCAAATTGGGGGGGGGGTTTGCTATGATAATACTTTAGAGAATTTTGGGATTGGAACTTTTACTCTTGGGAGTCAGAGGCGTGTATTAGTCTAAAATGTCACTTACGTTTGAAGAAAAGTGGACCGTGAAAGTGCGCCCACCCCATTGCTGGCAATGGCAAAAAAGTCACGAAACGTCACAACACGTCACATGATGTTGGGAATTTGACACCACTGCTCTATGCTAATGAAATTAGGGAGGAAGAGGATAGAGAAACTCTGAGAAATCTTTTGGGTCTTCTCTAAAGAAATTCCGTATCCATAGACAGGGAAGAAGTCCGAGCAATGAGTTGAGTCTTCCAGTCCAGTAATATCTACTCCTGCTACTATGTCCCTTTTGGAACATAGTGTGTGTGTGTATGGGGGGGAGAGCTGTCTCCTGCTACTATGTCCCTTTTGGAAAAGTGTGTGTGTGTATGGGGGGGGAGCTGTCATTGCCTTGCAGAGTAAAGAAGAAGCCTGCGTGTGAAAAATTTAGAATTTAAAATCCATCTTAAGTGTCTGTTCCACACCAGATCTCATAAGGAAAGGAAGCAAGAACAAACTTTCCCCCTGCCCAGATGAGGGGTGTGTGGCCTTAATTATGGAAAATTGGAATTTTGTTAGCGTTGTGGAAAACCTGGACACTATGCAAGGGGGGGGGGTGTTAGGTCTTTTACCAACCCTGGAGATTTTGTCTCGTAATCCGAAGTGAATCTTCCCCCAAAGATCAGGGAAATACCAGTGTACTTAAAATGCTTAATCTGCAATTCATTCAGAAGGCTAGTAATTTGCATAAGGTACCTCAGCATGATATGAAACACCTTTTGTGAGAGATATGAGTAATAGCTTTGCAAGACTGAGCAGATAAGAATAAAGAATTGATGTGAAGAACAGCACTGATGTTCTCATTTTGCTTCCGTTGTAGGTGGTATTCACAGCTCACT